GCCAGTGCCTGTTCCTGAGCCGGAGGCAGAGGCAGAGCCAGTGCCTGTTCCTGAGCCGGAGGCAGAGGCAGAGCCAGTGCCTGTTCCTGAGCCGGAGGCAGAGGCAGAGCCAGTGCCTGTTCCTGAGCCGGAGGCAGAGGCAGAGCCAGTGCCTGTTCCTGAGCCGGAGGCAGAGGCAGAGCCAGTGCCTGTTCCTGAGCCGGAGGCAGAGGCAGAGCCAGTGCCTGTTCCTGAGCCGGAGGCAGAGGCAGAGCCAGTGCCTGTTCCTGAGCCGGAGGCAGAGCCAGTGCCTGTTCCTGAGCCGGAGGCAGAGCCAGTGCCTGTTCCTGAGCCGGAGCCCATGTCGGTTCCGGACCCAGTGTTTGTGTCTGTGATTGTGTCTGTCCTTGTGACTGTTTCTGTCCTAGTGTCTGTTCCTGAGCCAATGCCTGTTCCAGAGGCAGAGCCAATTCCGGTTCCAGAGCCGGAGGCAGAGCCAATGCCTGTTCCAGAGCCGGAGGCAGAGCCAGTGCCTGTTCCTGAGCCGGAGGCAGAGCCAATGCCTGTCCCTGAGCCGGTGTCTGTCCCTGAGCCGGTGTCTGTCCCTGAGCCGGTGTCTGTCCCTGAGCCGGTGTCTGTCCCTGAGCCGGTGTCTGTCCCTGAGCCGGTGTCTGTTGTCGAGCCGGTGTCGGGTACTGAGAGGGCTTCACCACCCTGGCCGTCAGAGGGGCCTGCTCCGCCCTGGCCGTCAGAGGGGCCTGCTCCGCCCTGGCCGTCAGAGGGGCCTGCTCCGCCCTGGCCGCCCGAGACGTCTTCACCGCCCTGGCCGCCCGAGACGTCTTCACCGCCCTGGCCGCCCGAGACGTCTTCACCGCCATGGCCGCCCGAGACGTCTTCACCGCCCTGGCCGCCCGAGACGTCTTCACCGCCCTGGCCGCCCGAGGGGTCTTCACCGCCCTGGCCGCCCGAGGGGTCTTCACCGCCCTGGCCGCCCGAGGGGTCTTCACCGCCCTGGCCGCCCGAGGGGTCTTCACCGCCCTGGCCGCCCGAGGGGTCTTCACCGCCCTGGCCGCCCGAGGGGTCTTCACCGCCCTGGCCGCCCGAGGGGTCTTCACCGCCCTGGCCGCCCGAGGGGTCTTCACCGCCCTGGCCGCCCGAGGGGTCTTCACCGCCCTGGCCGCCCGAGGGGTCTTCACCGCCCTGGCCGCCAGATGGACTCTCTGTTTTGCCCTGGTCTGTCAGTCCCGCCCTGGTCTGTCCCTCCCGTCCCTCCCTGGTCTGTCCCTCCCGTCCCGCCCTGCTGTTTCCTTCCGCTCCCGCCCCGGTTTTATGGAGCGTCTGGTAGCCGCTCCATAGGGAGGGGGTAGTGTCACATGTCTGTCCTGTCTTGGTTATGCACTTGAGTGTTTTGTTATGTTGGGCCATGTGCTCTTGTTTTTGTCTGGTCCCTCCCCCTTGTTATCTGATTATTGGTTTATTTGTCCCACCTGTTATCCTCGTTACCCACCTTATTTGTCTGCCTTTTTAAGTCTCCTCTTGTTTGCTGTCTTTGTCGGATCTTTGTCTTTTGTCACCCCGGTTTCCCTGTGATGGTCGTCATGTTCTTAGTCAGTATTGGTTCTCCTAGTTCAGTGTTGTTTTATGTTTCATTTATTGTGTTTTCCCCTTTGTGGGTTTTTGCTTTGTGTTTTGTTTTATTTAGTTAATAAATCATCCCTTCACTGCACTTGAGTCCTCCTCTCCACTTTTGTAAATTGTATCGTGACACACTGTCAAATACCACACAGAGATTCTTGGTAAATGGACAAATATGCAACCCTAAATAACCAAGAGCATTTACACAGGCACTTAAATCCCCAGGACGACAAAACAACCGGTCTTATTTTCACTAAGACAGAGAAAGTTCTGATCCAACCATATTTTAAATCTCTCAGGCAGTTAAGCAATGGCTGAATTGAAACTTTGCCATTTGTTTTGACGGGCAAAAATGATTTGTACATCATCCACATAACAATGGATGGAAATATTGTGTTTTTTTTTAAATGAAGGGCAGCATGTACAAAGAAAACAGCATGGGGCCCAATATGGACCCTTGGGGGACGCCACAAGAAAGAGGAGCAGTAGATGAAGAAAATTCACCAAGGTGAACAGAAAAACTCCTAACTGTCAAGTACGATTGGAACCATTTAAGGGCTGTGCCCTTAATGCCAACACACTGTTCAAGTCGGGATAAAAGAATCGAGTGGTTGATCGTATCAAAGGCAGCAGTCAAATCCTAATTCCGATATGGAACCGGTAGTTAACCCTTTGCGGTAGGTAACCGACGCGTACGATCGTTCACACCAGTGTGATTAGAAAGTTCAGATAGCGTGATCATCAACTTCTAAATTCAAATCTGCGTTCGCGCATTGGCTGGCGCTGCAGACAGACGCACTTAGCGCTGTTATATAGTCTATCACAACTATTCTGGGTTTTCAACCACATAAGGTTTATTTTAGGTTTCAGACATTCAAATACACAATTATTAGCAAAACAACATTTACAGTTTGTAAAATACACACTGATGGCTATGGAAGCAGCAATAACAATCCTTTCAATTATAAATTGATGATGTGTTTAGATACACATTGTGTGGGTAACTATAAAATTTACTTTGTTCTTCTCACACTTCACCAGCCACTTTAAAGTATTTCAGGAGAAGTGGATGAATTGACATGTTGACAGATACAATTCTCTGAACTGCGGTGCTTAGCCTACTAACATAGTGTGCCTTTTCTACATTATAGATCAACTAACATGAATGATCATTATAAAGGTTTCTTAAATGACAAACCACATTCACTTGTGTATTTAAGAATAAAAATATCAGCCAAAGACTGACTGACACCAATCATAGTTCGTTTTGTTCTGCGTCATGTTTAGCCAAAGACTGACTGACATGTTTAGTGTGAAAATGTGAAGTCGACATCCCTACAATAACAGACTGGCGTATACATCTAAAAAATTAATCATTCAAGAACGTTGTGCAAGTTTACTGCAACAATAGAGCCGCGAACTTCACATACTTTTGAAATCCAGAATTCAGTTGATCCTGATAAGAGTTCATTGTCACAGTTGTAAACATAACAGCGTTCTTCTTCCATGAGGGATTTCTCGTCACAGCGTTTAAGGTGATGCGTTCTACAATAACGCTCACCTTGTGCAGGACATGCAATAAGTCAGGAGAGGTGCCGTATTTTGCCAGAGAAGGCAAAAAATGTGAAACGGATTGCTGAAATTTAAAGCTGGTTTGTAGCATACCAAGAATACAGACTTTGCTGTATTTTTGTACTGTAGTGTTTTTTAGTGTCAAATTATTGTAGTTGGGTTAGGTGGCTTAGGTTTTATTGTGAATTTATGATGTAAATTTGTTGTTTTGTATTTTAGACTAATATTTATATATACTTTTAAAAAATTTAATATTAAATTAAGATTTTTTTATTTGATTTTTTTTCAATAAACAAAGCAGTTTTTTTTACAATCACCATGAATTTGAAGCTCTTTTTAAAGAAGTTAAAGGCACCGGTACCGTTTTAAAAGTATCTATTTGGCACCGGTATCAAAAAAAAAAAAAAAAAACGATACCCAACCATAGTCACAACTATTATTGCAGACTATTTGTATTTTGATTGTTGTCTTATTTATTACTGGATGTAATAAATTCTTTTTGAGCTTTTTCTGCTGTCGTCTCGCCTAAATGTCACATCTTTGAGCCAGGTGAGACGGTGTGTTATGCGTATGTTTCACACAATATGGTAATGTCACTATATTGGGTTTGATGCTGGGTGATAATATAAGCGACTCATCTAAGGAAATGTTACAACAGTTTAGTGCTCTTACTACAAATTAAAATGATCACTGAAGGGCTTTTCACACTGCCTTAATCACTAGTTATTGGTGTTCTAAACCTCGCTTTTAACCACGGGAGATGAGCAGGATTAATTGTTAATCCTGGGTGCAGTATGAGCAGTGTAAAACAAGATAACCCAGGAAAACACTAGATTGGTTTCAAGTATTTCAGAGAGCAGCATAATAAAATGTATTAAATGTAACAAGTGGCATAGCACAGTCTTATAATGGATGTCTCATACCAATTGCACTCTCCCTAAAAATGGAACTTGTGTAGAAACATTATCCTAGAGACTTGTCTGGACAAATTGCCATATAAATGTAAATTAGTAATTTCTTACTCAGTGATTAAAATGTATAACAATATAAAATAAAAATATAACAAAACAACAAAAAAACTTTTACAATACATTAAAACCCTTGGCACAAAAGTCATGTGACTTATAATCTAAGCCAACTGCTATGGTGTGTCTAAATTGTTTTAAACAGTATCCCTTTGTATCCCCTTCTCAAACAGCAAAGAACTGAAAAAGGTCACAGTTTCTCTAGGCATTTCTTATATAAAGTCTGCTTTATAATCATCTGAATCTTTAAAACAGGGGGAAAAAAAGTTACTGGCAGGTTCAGCTTATGAAAAGAGTGGGAAACCCAAACCATTACTACTGTTGGCTCTTGTGACACATAGAGAGATAGTATGACAAACTATAGTAAACTTTAACTGGGAACTAAAACCAAAATTAGCCAATGTTTTGTTCTGATCTATTAAAAGCATTACAGGACTTTGGGATGTTTACTTGCAACAAACTATCTATAGTACAAATCATGTACTAGAATTTATAACTGTCTAAAAGTAGCATCCATATATATAGCATAAGCGATGCAGGTTTATGCAGATTACATAAATTTTATTTAATTGACATGCCCCTGGTTTCACAGACGTAGGCCTAGTTCAAGACTAACATGCATGGTGGAGCTGTTTAACTGAATGTTTTACTAAAATATGTCAGTACCAATGTTTTTAGGCACGTTTATAAAAGCTACTAAAATGTCCTAATTGAACTATAGCATAATCCTGGCTTAATCTAAGCCCTGTCTGAAGCCAGGCCTGTGTTTTTGAAGGCAATAAAGGATACGGGTTACTAAACATCCTTTTAAGGTCAACTTTTTCTTTGCAGTATGGACACGTCTGCTTCTTGCCCACAATGCACCAGCCACGTATGCAAAACTCATGGAATCTGGGTAATAAATAGGTTAAGGAAACAAATTTGTGCATCATAGTCACTGCTGGAAAGGAAAAGAAAAAATAGCAAAAGATGCTATTACAAAAGGTGGAAACATTCACTGATGCTACAGAAGGAAACACAATGCATTTAGAACCAGGGGTGTAAAACAGGATGAGGATGTGTACATTTTTCTTATTTTGTTTAAAAATTATATTTTTTCATTTAGTACTGCCCTTCAGAAGCTACAGAAGTTGCTTACATGTTTCCCAAAAGACAAAATAATTACAATTTACCCTGATCTTCAAATTCAAAGTTTGCAACCCCCACATGCATCATGTTTCCTTCTAGAGCATCACGTAAAGTTTGAACCTTTTGTAATAGTCTCTCAGTTGTCCTCAGTGTGAAAAGATGGATCTCAAAATCATACAGTCATTGCAGGAAAGAAAAAAAAACAAAAACAAAAAAACAGCCGCAGATCATCCAGGTAACGATACAGTATTAAGAATTGTATTGTAAGAAGTGCATATAAACTTTTGAAAGGAGTCATTTTTATAAATTTAACTTTTATTTTGTCTTTTGGACCATATGTTGAATGTTGACTGTGGTTTACACGCACCTTGCAGAATCTGCAAAATGTTAATTATTTTAATTAATTTAAATATAACTATTTAAGTCAACATCTTTTAAGTAAAATATCTTATTCAGGTCCCACTTATTTTGTTAAAATAATTAACATTTTGCAGATTCTGCAAGGTGCTTGTAAACTACAGTAGTCAACATTTGAAGTGGGCCAAAAAAAGTTCATCAAAGTTGTCCTAAGACTAGAACGGGTTTTGTTCAAAATTAATGTATAACTTTGATGAAGGGTTTCTATCCACTTCAAATGTTGACTACTGTATAAATATATATGACAATGGTGACAATATATTTAAGCTGTGAATATTTCAATTCAAAACATTTCACACACTTTCATTATTGAAAATTCAATTACCCATATTCACCTTTCAGATATCACTTCCAAAATATTCAGTCTGTTTAAAAATATAACCTTTAATTTTCTATATGTAAATTTCGGTCCATTTTATTTTGCTTTACAAATTTGCTTCCACAAATTCGACAGAAAATTCAACAATGCACATCCTGGAACTGCAGGAAAAGCAGTAGAGTACCGATGTATAATCTCCATCTACTGTTAGTCGGCTCCCCAGCAGATGGTGCAAGTGGGTGTTGAAGAAAACCAGAGCCGTTAGAGCAAGTCATTCATTCACAATAATGGCCTTACAGAAATGGAGCTAGCGGTAAGTGTATGTGATTATTATCAGGGCCATTATATATGCAGAAAAGCTGACAAAGACAAAAACTGTGCTTCCGTTTAAGTCTTCACAGTGTAACAAATAAGCTCAAAGGAGGAAATATTAACTTAACTAAAATAACTTATGATTAATTATGAATATTTGGATCATTCAATATGATTAACTTGATGTAGCTAAATTAATATTACAATCAATAAATCAGTTCATCCAGCGAACACTTGATTATTCATTAATCCTAAGAAAAGGGTATTTTTCATGGCCACAGAAAAATAATTCTTTCTTAACATGTTCAGCGCATAGAGCATGTAACAATCATGCCATTGAAGTTGCAATCGATTTCTTCTGCATTGAATGAAAATGATATGATGAACTTGCATGGTTAGTTCGACTCCATCATGGTTGATGAAGTTCCACATGGCTCGATGTGTTGGGCGGATGAGGTTTTTCGTATCCATATTTGACCTTAAAGCATTTAAGCTCCCGTCCCTACAGCGAACTCTGGCGCCCCGGGAACCACTGATGTAGGCTATACTATTGAAATAGGCAAGCAGATACTGGCATAAAGTTGGTTTGATATTGGATGTTCGATATTCGCAAATTTAGGGACCGTTTCTTAAGTTACATACGACTAGGGCTGGGCGATTTATCTGTATTTATCGACGGTACACCATTGTCGGTAACAATATAAAAAATGTTCGATGTAGCGCTCAATTTCATTCAAATGTCCGCGCGGGGCTGGCGCGACCACCACACGGTTGCCCAACATCAAATGGCAAGCGTAATGAAAGCGGAACGAAACTGCGCTATTATTTTGTGCTTCGCGGACCGTTTGGACCATCAATGTCAGTGTAGCGCCAGCCGATCTTGATCACAAGCCATTACCCTTCAAATTGCGCAAATCTGTAATGGAAACGTGCCAACTGTTACTACACAGCGCTAAGAGATCCAGTAAAGAAAGCATTTGAATTCGCCACAGAAGTAATAACATCGCTGTGTAAGGTATGGACTGTCAGTTGACTTCCTCCTTTCCTCAAGCAAGAACGTGTGTACAACACACACACACACTCTCTCTCTCTCTCAGGAATGGCCAGAGTCATAAAAATGCTTGAACATTCCATGCCCTCCCCCATCTCTGCAAGAGAGAGAACAGAACTCTAACACACACACACGCAAACCAACACACACACATGATGGACCTTTACATTACACTCATAAAACGAGCCATTACCAATTGTATACGATATATTCCTGTATGTCTGTGTGTTTCCCAGTCCATGGTAGTCTAGATATGATCTCCTAGCGTATCAGTGAAACTCTTGAGAGTTTATAGTTATGTATTAAGATGTATCTTCGTATTCCAATTATGTGTAAATGTTTTGTTTGGTACCGTTTTAATTATCTCGTTCCAACTGATTTGGTCAGATACAGAAGATTACAGTAAAATGTATGTTTTCTATGTTTTTACCATCTTGTGGAATGAGTCTGACAAATTCTGACTGGTCATAAAAGAGGCGGACACGGCCATAGTTTAACTTTGACAAGACAAAGAGAATTTGGCCGCCAAAAGTTTCTTTGAATGTCATTGGCCAGTTCGCACCTCAGAGGTGTGGACTCCAGTTCCTCTAAAGAGGACTGAACCTCCCTCTGGACGCTCTTCCTCCCTTGTCCTCGTGTCAAGATGTAACGTCTCGCCTCTGGGCGAGTTCTTCGCCTTTCTTTTATTTGTTTCTAGTTTAGTTTGTGTTTTTCAGTTGTAGATAAGTCTCTGTGTTTAATTCCAATCGACGATTGAAAAGAAAACCCCATGACATATCTCTTCAGCAAATCCATCTACAAGGGACCTTTAAACGAGCGCGCGCTCGCTTTGAAGGAGAAACACGCGCACGTGACCGCGTGACGCGCCGGACCGAGCGACGCACGCGCTTCTTTACCAGCCATGCAAAGATGTAACGTTAACTCCGCATGATTTCCCCGTCGAGATCTTTATTTCCTTTTTGTTAGTCAAAGTTTTGTTTTCCGTAGTCGACTCAGTTCACTTCCACGAAGTGAAACGAACTTAGCCGAACTATTTCCCTTTGGAAATGTTACCCTAAAGACTGTAAACCTCCGTTCAACACGCGCGCCAAGCAGCCCACGTGACGCTTCCTCACACACAAAAGGACTCAGCTCACGCGGCCAGACAGGGCCGTACAGAGAGACCATAACATAACTTGTGCAAGTATAATCTCTTTATAGAGCTTCTAAGAAGTTTTAAGATGATGTTTCGTGTTTTAATCGGAGAGGTGAATGTCTTCCTGCCAATGAAATTCTGCCAATGTTCTCTTTTCTCTCTCTCCCCATTCTCTGTTCTCTCTCTCTTACTCGCTCACGCGTGTAAGTTATCCATTGTCCAAACTTTACGCATTTCTCGTTCATTGATGTCTTATTGTATTGTTCTTTGATGTCTATGTGTTTGTAAATACATATATCCCGTGTAACCGTAGTAAATACATAAGTAGTCATGCCTCTATTAAATTAATTATATTCATTTGATTGATGTGCTGTCTCTTTGCTCAGTTTCAAGTCCCTTAAGTGCAAAAGATCTTATGCTACAAGCTTACTAAAATTAAAAATACCTTAAAGAGTATGTGTTGTGTTTATAGGGCGGGAAACCCAATTCTTCTGGCCAGAGAATTGCGTTTCCTGAAATCCTATAAAGTAAGATGATATTGTGGATCCCACAAATATTATCCTGACAATTGAGCTAATTCATTTTACCTGTTTTGTGAAACGTGGTCCGTGTAATTAATTGCAATCAACTTGTGGTTAATTTCAAGGATTCACATGCATGCAGGTAAAATGACAGATCCTCCCTTATCGGGAGATTTATTAACATGTAAGACTGGTCTAATCCAAACATGCATGAATAATTATTAATTACCAATTATTAATTATGATATGCAAATTCCCCACGGATTAGATCCGCCCTGAATCCTTACAAATTGGTGGAGAAAATGCTAAGCACACTTTAAACTTGTTTCTGAGCAAAAATCAGTGTTCAATCTATGTCTATATTGTGATTTAATATTGTACGCGCGCCTCGGGTGAGTGAACGCAATGCGAACTCACCAGCTGACTGAAGAGGCACAAAAGCCAGTCCATGTCAGCGGAGCACATTACAAACTGCTAAATTCGCCTAAACGTTTTAGTCGTTGTAATTGCTAAAATGAATTGCAGTTCGTAATACTGATATTCACGGTTAAAGTATTGAATGTAAACTGTAGTTTGAAAAAAAAAAAGAGATATTACCTCTGTAAAGACGTTTACATGTTAATATATTTTCTTTTGATCAGCCTGTTTTCAAAACGAGAATCTTTTGAGCAGAGCGAGAGAGGATCTGAATTACAGCGATGCTCCTGTAATTCAACCTAAAAGGCCTGATATTATAATCGTTAGATTAACGATAAACTCCTGGTTAAACATTGACGTAGCTACTCAATTGTAAAAACCTAAAGCATATTTAATCATAGGTGCTATTTGATATATGTTATGGGAGTCGAAAAACGGATGAATAATTCCTGTTTTCTCTCGCACAACGCAGCGATGAATCCTGCTAGATGTGCTTGTAAAACATAGCACCGAAAAAAAAATCCAACACTGAAAACATTTTTCATCATAAATGCTATTTGATAAATGTTATTTGGATCCGAAAAACAGATG